AGTATTGTACTATGTTTATTTTGTATTCAGGGATTGTCAATAGAAAAATGCAAGATTTTATATCAAACACTAATTGTTATTAAACCTCAATAAAATTTTGGAACCTTATCTGGTAGTATTTTTTTATTAATATCGTAGTAGCAAATATGACTCCAACTTTACACACACATTCAACATAAATGATAAATGTAGGAATATAGTCTGGTCTTTGAAAAAATCCCCACTGAGTACCATACATCTCCTTTGTGTTTGACATCAAAAACATGACAAAGTAAACCTAATAAGGTACTACACTTATAGGTAATGATATTATAGTTCGTAATTCAACTCAATTACCTCTTCTCAGCAAAAACCATCAACAAGATTTTAAAATATCAAACATATATAAATCACATGAAAATATTATTCTAGGATAAGCTTATAAATGTGTACGATTCAACAATGTAGATATGTCTTTTAGGCATTATTCGGTAAAGCTCGATAATATAAGCATTTAATGAAATACAGGGTGCTAATCTTAATTTTCTAGTTCAATCATCTAAGATCATATTCAATAAGCAAAAAAATCATTCAAAAATTATATTCAAGTTCAATAACCCAATTTTATTATTTGAGTACAAAGAACCTGAGTCTTTGACTGCTTGTGGCGAGGAAAGACAGAAAATGAATTGAAGATGGAGGACGACTGGGCGAGACAGTGACTGAGTTATCGCTTGTGACGGTGGAGGCGATAGATGCATAGCAACACGACCGAGAGGAACTAGTTAATTAGGGATTGTAATTTTTTAATCTGGGGTTGAGAATTCGGTACATGTAATGTGTTTTTACTTTTTAGTAAAAAAATATAAAAATTAAATTAATATATATATATGTATTTTTTAAATATGATAAATGATAATTGGTTATAATAAAAGTAAACAATTATTGAGGGTTAATGCTACAGTCAATCCTAATTTTTTTTATGATTTATAAAGTTATTTTTGTACTTCCATGTATTTTAATTTGATATTTAATTTTAAATTTTAAAGATCTATTGATTTAAGAGAAAATAACCTCAATGACCAAAAATCTCAGATAATATACGATTTTGACCAACTTTTTTTGGATTTGCGAAAATGACCAACAAAATCGCAATGCGATCTCTAATTCGCATTGCGATCTCCACTATCGTAAATTCGCGTTGCATTTCGCGTTGCGATAGTTGAAAATCGCGTTGTGATCTTCCATTTCGCGTTGCGATAGTCTACAGTTGTCGTTGTGATAGTTGAAAACCGCGTTGCGATAGTCTCGGGTCGTGGTCGTGGTCGCGATTTTCAACTATCGCAACGCGTGGTCGCGTGCGATTTTCAACTATCGCAACGCGATTTTCAACTATCGCAACGCGAAATGGAAAATCACAACGCGAAATGGAAAATCGCAACGCGATTTTCAACTATCGCAACGCGAAATGCAACGCGAATTTGCGATAGTGGAGATCGCAATGCGAATTAGAGATCGCATTGCATTTTGTTGGTCATTTTCGCAAATCCAAAAAAAGTTGGTCAAAATCGTATATTATCTAGGATTTTTGGTCACTGAGGTTATTTTCTCTTGATTTAATTCATTTAAACTAAAATTTTTATTCCCAAACTAGGGATGCTACAATATATAGTCACATAAATTTTCTAAATTACAAGTTATAAAGAGTAGCAACGATGATTAAGGCGATAAAGGATTGACCCAAACCGAAACAACCTGAATTGACCCAAAAATCTAAAGGTTGATCCAAATCAAAACCAATCCGAATTGACCTGAAAATCTAAAAATTGGTCCGAAAAAAAAACAACTCAAATTGACTCGAAAATCTAAAGCTTTACCCAAACTGAAACCAATCGATCCGATATTGACTCGAATTGAAACCAACCGATTCAAAATTAACCCGACCCAAACATTAACTGATCTGATTTTAACTCAACCAGAAAACCAACCGACTTGATTTGACCCGACCTGAACTGAATTTCCATAAACCCAAACTAAACCGAATGCAATCCTAACCCGAAAAGACCTAACTCAACCCTGATCTGAATTCGACATTTCATTTGGCTCGCCTATCGTGACAAGTTACTCACCAATGCGAATCGATGCAAAAGGAACATCGTAAGCAGTCCTCTTTGTGATATATGCGGTACGGATGATGAAAATGCTCTTCATATCCTCCGAGACTGCACTGAATTGAGAGCTCTATGGTCCTTTATCATCTCGCCCCAAGCAGCAAACAGTTTCTTTAACCTCTATTTGGAGCATTGGCTACTTGACAACATCAGCTCCAATCACCTTTTACATGGAACTGCCATTCCTTGGAAAATTACTTTCGTTTCTTTGATTTGGCAAATCTGGAAGCGTCGCAATACGTGCATTTTTAATGGTGATGGCCCCTTGAATGCAAATCTTTATCAAACGAGCATCTCGTGGCCAACTTATTATTCGACCACCTTCAAAACGAATGACCCTCACTGCTGTGACATTGTCCCATGGCTCCCTGCAATGAATGGTTGGGTTACTCTTAATTCTGATGGTGCGCTAGATTCTACCTCCTCTCTTGGATCCTCGGGACACTTTATCCGGAATCAAGAAGGTAATTGATTAGTCGGCTTCAACAGATATCTTGGCTTTTCTACCATTCTCGACTCAGAACTTTGGGGTATTTATGATGGCCTCTGCATTGCTTGGAATACGAGATTCAAGAAAGCTCAATGCCAGATAGATAGTGCCTATGCTTATAACTTGATCACCTCTGCCTACGCCCATGTTTCGCCTAGTGCTCTCTTCCGCATGATCGTTGGCTTTATCTCCAGACCTTGGCTCCTGAATTTCAATCTAATTAAGCGTGAAGCCAACTCTGGCTGACGACCTTGCAAAACTCACTGCTCTCACGGATGGAATTGTTCATACTCTGCAGAATTCTCCACCTTCGATTTCCTGTTTGCTTCAGCGATACTCAAGACCCCTTAAGGGCTCCCACAATCTCTATGTAAAAGGCTTTGATTCATTATTATTCAAAAAAAAATTGATTGAATTGAATTATTTTAATGGTCATTACAAAATTAATCTTAAAATTATAACTTTGAAAATATTAAACATATGTTTTGATAAAAAAATACTTAAAATTAAAAAATATAATTTAATTATTTTTAATTAGATCTAATAATTTTAGGGTAAAGTACACAAATGATTCATCGACTACAAAACCCTACTTTGTTAAATCCCATGAATATTGAACATTACAAAATTGCCCCTTGGTTATAAGACATTACTATAGTTAGTCTCTCGACTATTAAAAGTTACAAAATAGTCGTATGATTATTCATATATTCCAAATTTGTCATCTTTAGTTAAAAAATTAGAGGTCATCTGAGTAGGTTAATGTCATCTGAGTTGGACATTAACCTACTCACTAAGATATGATAAAATTTGATCTCATAATTGTTTGAACTGTATTTTATGGATCAAGTCTCTATTTATATTATGTCGTCGAGCCAATGCTTAAAAATAATAGTTATACTAGTAGACATAATTAAAAATATTATTTTATCATATCTAAGTTAGTATGTTAACGTCCAGCTCAGATGTCCATCATTTTCTAACAAAAAATGATGAATTTAGAACATATGAATAATCGGATGACTATTTTGTAATTTTTAATAGTCAAGAGACTTAACAAATCGAATGATTATTTTATAATTTTTTAATAGTCATATGACTAAATAAAATAATATTTTATAATAAAAAATATATATATGGTTGGTTGTCCTTTGTTCCCATATGTAATGGGGTAAGGGGGAGGTAAGATAGTAGGCTGCCCTCAATACTAGGTTAAGAACAGCTTCCATATGAGTAGGGATGGCAAACGAGCGGGTCGGGTGCGGATACCCCATCCCCCCCCATACCCACCTAATACCCACCTAATATTTTTATCCATGGTGGGTACAAATTTTCAAATCCACACCCGCCCACGCGGGTACATTTTCAAATTCATCCCTACACCCACTACCCACTAGCGACATACCTAGCTAGACCCACTTGACAGCAAACTAATGGGATGTTGGAGTTGGTTCCCAGATAGTTCGTGATGGGGTAGCAGCGCATGCTTCAATTTGTCAGAGGAGTAGCTCTACGAATGTTATGGAGACAGATTGTAGGGAGCATGTAGTCGCAGAGCTGGATTGTTGTGTTGCTTTCGATGTTAATGCTCATAGTGCGCCTAATATGGGTTTTGATGGGCTAAAGAACATGAAAACTGTTGCTTTTGATGTTAATGCTTATAGTACGACTAATTTGTGTTTGAATGGCAATATGGGCAACATAGGCTAAAGAACATGGAAAGTGGCGTGGTTAGTGGGATTATGCGTTTAATCAAAGAGCTGAATATTTCTCTAATTAAAGACCAGATTAAAGACTAAATATCCTTAATATTTGGATAAATTATATGTTATATATTATACAATATTAAAACTTATAAATTAGTCTTTAAAATTACACCTAAATTCATAATGGTCCAAAATTTAATAGATATTTAACTGGGTGGGCAGATGTGGGGCGGGCGGATGCGGGTGGATGCGGGGCGGGTAATGTCTCAAACACATTACCCGCCTACCACCCACGACGGATACCACTTTATAAATCCACACCCGCCCACTACCTGCTAAAATTATACCCATCCTCGCTCCAATTGGAGCGGATGCGGTGCGAAATCTACGAAACTGTACCCGTTTGCCATCCCTACATATGAGACATCCAAATTATGAAATGCCCTCCATGAGACTCGATCCCACGACCTCAAGGTTAAGAACCTTGTGCTCTATCAACTGAGCTGGAAAATATATATATATTGCAAATAATTTTAATGTATATACAATAAGAGATAAATAAAAATGAAATAAACTAATCAAAGAGAAACTAAAAATAGAAACAACGAGCGAGCGAGAGATGAAGCTAATGAAAAACAAAGCCGAGCTGAGAATATAATGAGCAATGGCATTAGCACGACAAGAAGAGGAAGGGAAAGAGAAAAGAGAAAACTGAAAAAGAAATTGCACTCTAAATAAAACACACATTCATATTATTAATATATTAGTATTAAAAAAAGGAAAGGAAATTGAAAAAAAGACGATAGAGGGAGCAAAAAGAAATCGATAGACGCTGCGAACAATCCGACCCCAAACCCCGACAACTGTTATGGCGCTGGATTTCTCTGAAGCAACTTGCCTAAGGTCAGCCTTTTTCTTTATCAATCCTTTTAAGCTTCTCTTTTAAGCAAATTCCAGCTCCCTTCCTCAACTCTTATCCTACCCAACTCCACTGATCTCTTTCCCTCTGCTTCAATTTCCTAATTCCCAACCTTTTTCCCCTTTTCAATTGCCCGTAAAAGTCACGCCTTCGTGGTTTCAATTGCTGCACTGTTCCCTTTGTTTTTTATTTGCTGATCCAACTCTAGGGTTTTCCTTTGCGCTTTGCGTTTATTCAGTTCCGCTTTGTTTTTTTATGGGGTTTATGTTTTTTACTTTAACGGAGTTTGATCCCTAGGGTTTTGATTCTTCCGATATGAAATTTGGGTTTGCATTGTATGAACGGTTCCCCTGTGGGTCTTAGGGATGTCTGAAAACTGGACTTCTGAGTTCTCTTGTTTTTTCTTTCTTTCTATGGGATTTCATGCTTGCTCTTTTTACCTCAATATGCAGAGAGTAAGAGTTCGATTTGCATTATATAGCATGCAAATTGGTGGAGTCGGATTCATTTTTGGCATCTGAGAAAACTGTAAATTGGGGTGGAAACAGGTCTCAGTGGTTTTATAGTTCTGTGAATGGTTTAGAAATCTGCTTATTGAGCAATGCAACCACAGCAGGGCTCCAGAATCAATTTAGGCCAATTAAAAGCTCAGATATTGAAGAAGATTGGGGCTGAGAGGTCAAAAAGATATTTTTATAATTTGAGTAGGTTTTTGAGCCAGAAGCTTGGTAAAAGTGAGTTCGATAAGTCATGTTACCGCATTCTGGGAAGGGAGAATCTGCTACTGCATAACCAGTTGATACGCGCAATATTGAAAAATGCATGTCAGGCCAAGACTCCACCACCAGTTCATGAAGCAGGTCCTGCTAGATCTTCGATACGAAATGCTGAAAGTTATGCTGGTAGAGATGATGGGCATGAGCCAATTGGATCCCTTGTACCCAACCAGAATTCAAACATGACCATTTCTTCGAATGGGGTTTTGTCAATGTCATCCCTACGAAAGGTTATATCTGGAATACAGGATAGAAAGCTCAGGGATCGGCCCAGCCCGCTGGGGCCAAATGGAAAGGTTGAGAGTTTCTCACATCAATCCATGGGTACTGAAGACAATGGCAATAAATTGGGTCTAGAAAATGGGGATTTGACACCATATTACTATCAGAGACCATTACAGCATCCTCAAACAGTTGCCGAGCAGCCTGAAATTGAAAGAGAAGGTTTGGGGCGTTCCACAGGAAAACCAAGGGTGCTTATCAAAGGTTTAACTGAAGGAGCTGTTGTTGAAGATGGGGAGGGGGTGGAGCAAGCCAACCATGTTGATTTCTCTAGAAATCCTTTGCTTGCACCTCTTGGGATTCCATTTTGCTCAGCTAGTGTTGGTGGCGCCCACAAAGCTCTGCCAGTGGCAATCAGTGGCGACTTCATTAGCTACTATGACAGTGGTAGTTTGTATGATAATGAGTCATTGAAGAAACGTATGGAACAGATCGCAGCAGCGCAGGGCCTTGAAGGTGTTTCATGGGAATGTGCTAGTATGTTGAACAACATGTTGGATGTATACTTGAAGAGACTGATTAGATCATGTGTCAATCTGGTGGGTTCAAGATCTACACGTGAATTAAGGAAGCACATTGCCCACATGCAACAGCCTCAAAGCAAGCTTGTTAATGGTTTTTGGCCAAGTAGTCACTTGCATATGCAGAGTATTTCTGGGCCTACAGAAGGTTTACAGGAAAAGCGGCTGGGGTGCTCGATTTCTTTGCTTGATTTCAAAGTTGCAATGGAGCTAAATCCCCATCAACTGGGTGAAGATTGGTCATTGCTGCTGGAAAAAATATGTATGCATTCATTTGAAGAATGAACGCTCAACAAAAAATTGTTTATCATGAAGCTGTTAGAAGGATATGTTCATCCTGGTTCAATGTGCTCGACAAATGTTGAAGCTGCCTGTTCGTTTACATTTACTGACATGAACCAGATTGTTCCCAGTCAGATAAAGCTCTGGCCCTCGCAAGATTAAATTATGGGTTTGAGTTTTGGGATGCCTATACCCTTGCTGCAGAGCTGGGACTGATCAGATTATTATTTTTGAGCAACTGAGCTAAAGTGCTGAAAAAGGAAGTGCTTACAACTCGTTGCTCTGTTGTACAATTAGCATGTTGTTGGCTGTCTTCTACAGATCTCAATCTTTTCTTGTAATTTACAGCCATTGAGGTGGAAGTCTGAGAAAGTTTTGCAGAGGCACTGCCTTGTAGCTTGGTGAAAGGTAAATTTATTTGTAAAGAGCTGCAGCATTGCTCTATATGTAATTTAGAATCTGAGAATCTATTGAATTTATATATTAATAACAAGTCGACATCCATTAAATTGTCCATGTGGTTTATATTATAATTTCTGCCAAATGCCACTGAAAAACGTATTTGTGAGGCTTTGATTCTATGTTCTTGTGGATTTATGATTTGCTAATTGTAATTAATTGTCATTTAAAAGATTTGGTGGCATACAGTTTTCCATAGTGCTCAAGCTACTGTTCTTATTTTGTTGATTGAATATGTATTTTGGTCTCCATTTTACTTGCAGGTACCATAGTGTAGATGGGTAACAACACTTTGTTTTCTGCGATCAGCATTAACGTTGTTAGCCATTTCTGCTATCCGTGCCATGCAGCAGATATGCAGAGTTTCAGTTGTTGAACCAGTGACTGGTGTTTCTCATATCGTGAAAACACCTGAAAAGTATGTAATTTGTGCTTGCTGATGGTTGCAGATGATTGTGAAGAACTTATGATGGACTATATGAAATACCAAATCTCCAACTGTGAAGGCGGATCGTTAGATGCAATGCTTGTGAAGACCAATTTAATTTGCTATGTTGTATATATGGGAAACATTGGGCAGTGGCATGGTTAACCAAGAAATCTAGCGCATTCTGATTGCTACAACCACAAATGTTCAAAAAGATATTTTGTTTTACTAGCAATCAAGGAAAGTATATAAACGAAAACTAAATGAGCCTAACTGATTGCTATTTTCATTCACATTTCTTTTGAAGGGGGGAATTCAGGTGCAGTGCGAAGAGCAGCTGGTTGATTTGACAACTTGACACAAAATGGTTGGATTTGATATTTACATATATGATCATCAAAAAACTTCTGAAGATGTACCACATCCGTTTGTACGAAATAAACAGCGTCTCTAGCTTCCTTTTGTAAAATTCAGCTCGATCACGAGGTAGGTAAACAAGACTATGTGGCTTCTGCTGATGCTTTACAAATAGGGCACCAATTCTTCATCCGTAGCCACTGCTGTATGCATGCAATGTGATAACTATGCTCACAATGCAACCTCCCTACTTCATCTCCGATGACATACTCTTCCTCAGGAGAAAAAGACCAATGAATTCCGTTAAGTTTGAAATGAAACCAGTAAAGAAACCACTGCAGTTGCATCCAGAGATGAGCAGAGGAAAACAAAATAGCAATAGCACAAAGTTTTCATTAATACAGTCGAAGGTTAAGTAGCAAAGGACCTGGCATATACTGCATTTGGCATCATCTTCTTCACCCTTAAAGCTGACATTTGCATCTTCCAAAGATGTCTAGTAGATGCCTTAAGGCATTTTGTTAATGCTTCTAAAGGTAGTGCAGTGCTCACAGAGCCCATCCTCTCTTCTAGAGCTAGTAATTCCTGTCATGAAAAGCAAGAAAAGCTAAATCTTAACAAGCACCGTGTGTAGAAAGTAAAATGCAGACTTGAACCCACATAGTGAAACAATAACAAACCTCATATGACATATTATCTATATCCAATCTCATGTATCTATGCCGGTCATAAAAGTTTAGGCCATCAAGGAGCAAGCCGGTCTTAAGAACAAGTAAATGCTGCAAGACAGAAACAGAATCAACAACATATGATATATCAGGAAAACTCAAGCACTTCAAAACTAGTTAACTAGTATAATCTGGAAAACTCAGGCACTTCAATTCTCTCGAGTAATGATACCTGCATAAACACAGCAAAAGTAACAGATGAAGCTTCAATAGTTTAATAATGCAATGTTTCATTTTGCCTCTCCCAAGGAAGACTCGATAGCATCAGATGATTCAAGATATTAATGCAAATCCGTATTCATAGAGAGAAAGAAGAAGAAGAAATTTATAAATCCATGAATAAGAATTGCTGGTTGGAATATCCTGGTAATATACCTCTGCAATGTCATCCATATTGTGGAACCGGAATCTACCCCAGTTTACTGAAGAGCTGCAAATGCCAACTTCTGAAGGGTTAGGAGGCATGATACTCCTTAAACTCTTACTGCCTGGTCGATTGTGAGAACTAGCACGAGTTGAGGCAGTTTTCTTGGAATCACGAGCATTCAAATCAATATGTATATCATATTGAGGTGCTTGCGGGATGATTATGGGTGACTCATTCAAAGTTATTTCCTTCTGCTTGGTTAGGGGGTCTCCCTCTACTATGACTACTGTTTGATCTTTGAGTCCTAACTGAAGAAGTGCTGCCACAATCCCTATTAGAAAACCAATTCCTAACTTGCCTTGAACCAGAAATAGGAACACCAAGGCTGGAACTGTTGTTCAGTCTCTCCAATGACCTACTCAACTTTTTCCCCCAGGTGAAGGAACTACCCTCTCCTTCAGAACTATTCTTTTCTACTTTATTTTCCCCTTTGCTGAGGCTTGAACCCGATGATGAACAACTAGACGAGACAACAGAAATTCTTGAACTTCTCAAGCCATACTTGCTTGTGTTACCTTGAGTAGCACATAAAGCACAAATAAACTTCATTAGCTACAGTTCTGTATTTGACCAGAAAAATGGAGATATAGTAAAACTGAAAAAGCCAAGTTACCTAGATAAAAGCATCCAGCCATGTGGTTACTGGTTGGTCATTATATTCCAGCTGGATATACAGACACTCTTTACAATCCCATCTCTTGTATATAAAAACATGCATTGTCTAAATAATATTTCAGACAATGCATAGAATATGTTTGGTTTTTGTGTGCGAAAAAGATGAGAAGGTCAAATATAGGCAGCCGCGACCAGGGGCTTGTCCCTACTGTGGAGGCAAGCTGCAAGCTATGAATATAAAGACTCACTGGAAGTTCTTCTTTTTGCCACTGTTTTTTCTGGAAGAAGAGAAAGATCTATTGCATCACATGCGCAAAGTAGATGTTTGATGCCTTCCCTTAAGCTTCTATGACTTTTATTTCATTGTAGTTGTCGAGCGTTTAGCATAAATAAGCTTATTATAATCGTAATTTGTAAGATTGGCTGGAATTTTTATGTTGTTGGCTTGATCTATATGTATTTTGGTTCAAAATCGGAAGACCATTTATGTTTGTATTTGCATTTGCTGTCATCAAAACCAATTATATTAGTTAAATGTTTGTTTAATGCTTATGAACATAGCAGCTTCAAGGACTTACTTACAGCTTATGAATAGTATTAACAATGAAAGACAAGAATGCTTGTACATCTATGCCTGAATCGCAGGAGCCAACACTATTTCAACTTAGAAAGGCTTCTGGCCTATCACATTACCATGGGGATCATAGTTACACGAGATCAATGTATCGCCGCTTCGGCACGACTTTGACGCATCCGACCTTTAAGCTATTTCTCCAAATCATTTGAGTATAATGCAGGCACTGATCATTATTTCTGCAACTATTAGTCTTATAGTTGTAGTTCCTTTTCTCTTCTGCCCATGCCGCTACCGCGTCTCTCGGCTTCCAGTCCTTGCCGCTTCCCCAGAAGAGGTTCTCTCCGTAATCACTATTCGAATGAATCAAACCACAATCTCCTTGCCTCTTATGTGCCCACCAGGAAGCAAATTTTGCCAGCTTTTTGCTCCACCTAAGAGGAGGGAGCCGGAGCTCTGCTCTTAATCTGTTGTGTGGGATTAGATACCGTTGGATTGCCTTATTAGAGGCTATTTTAAGTAGACGCCTGGAATGTGGGAAGAAACTTCGTTGTCGTCGGAGTATGACGATTTTGATTTGATGAGTGAGTTGATTGGTAATGACGAGTTAAGTTTTATATAGTTGCATGACAGATAAAATGAATGAATATTTTTTTAATAGAGAATCATTTCACATGGTAGGAAAAGCAAGTTGCAATAGATTTGAGGTGTATAACACGCTGTGGAAAGTGGAAAAAGAAGATCAGTTTGACTTTTAACTAACATACCGGCTTCTAAATTATAATCACTTTACGCTAATGATTAAGTTTAGACATCATCTCTATTAATCAGGCAAATGAATGTCATAGAAGATGAACATTCTACGCAAAATGTTCGGACACCAAAGCACATGGAAAATTGAAGAGACTTGGTCGCTGAAATGCTTGATCAGCTGGAAGAGGTCTTTTGATTGACACGTGAAACCATGTGCACCAGCTGTGAAGGTGTAAAAGGCAAATGCTTAAAACATCCCATGATCAACTAAATTATTAGTCGTGAGAACTGTTGTCTGGAAGATCAAAATTAAATTAAATTGTTGTGTGGATCAAGGTTTCAAATCGTGGTCGTGTTTTCGGTCATTTTAGATTTACGGTGATTGTGGCTGTCACGGGCACTATTGGACGCTATTACGGGTGTAGCGGGTAACTCGGACGGCGGCAAAACAACTATTTCACAGGTACTATCACGTTTTCGGACCGTGATTTGAAACCCTGGTCTGGATTGGATGATCAATTCAGATGGGAGACGCATGTTTCTAAACTTTTTAATTTATTCTTTTATTAATTATTGGAGGATTGTTAATATATTCTTTTAGATTAGAGGAAGTTTGTCAATCTGACTAAATCAATTAGACAGTAAAACTACCGACGAAATCTTAAAATACATTTAAATTGCAAACACCTTTGCATTTGAACCAAAAGCAACTAATAACTACTCCGCAAATCTGAAAGGCTAGGCATATGAAGACACCATTTTCTTATTTGGTTAATGTTTCAAATACTATTGTAGACACTAAATTTTATCCGAATTCTCATTCGGTCTTTTTAATAGTAGTATATTTTATTATTACTTAATTACTTTAATTGGTATTATTAATATTATTTTTAATTAGTATCATTGTTTAGGAGTTTATTATACTTGTTAAATTATGGTTTCACTGAACATTTCAATAGCGGCTTTTTTTTACTCCTATAGCAGCGTTTATAAGTGTCACAAAAAAGCTTCCCAAAGCAAACAATAGTGCCACAAAAAATGCTGCTAAAATTAACACCGCAAACATTAGTGGCATTTGTAAATAAAAAACGTCGCTATATACCATAATATTTAGCGGCGTTTTATATGCTATGATATGTAGTGGCATTTTGGAATAAAATAACGCGATGTACTATGATATGTAGTGGCGTTTGTTATACTAAAACGCCGCAAAATGTTAACCATATAGCGGCGTTTGAGAGCCAAAAACGCCACAAATGTGTAGTCCTTTAGTAGCGTTTTTCATCTTAAAATGTCACTAGTTGAATTTATTTTACAAATGTTGTTTGTACTGTTTATAGCCCAAATTTAATATATATCATGTAACAATATTCAATAACAACCTTGTTACGACTCGAATTACGTAAAAAAAATACTTAACACCATAAATAAATTAAAATTTACAAACATTCAAGTGAAATGTAATGTAGTTCAACATTAAGTGAAATGTAATGTAGTTCAACAACTAGAATAAACATTACATGAATATAAGAAATCACCTAGGGTGGTGAATTTCGCGTTTGATTTTGTTGCATCATATGCCTCACAACTTCAAGTTGTTTTTGAAGTTCATCATATTTTCTCTGATATGTTGCTTCCCTCTCTGCTTCTCTCGCTTCAACTTCGGCTTTCAATTGAGCAAATTTTTCATCCACTGCAATTAATTGTTGTTTTAATCAAATAACTTCTGATTGAGAAGACTGACTCTATGATGACATGTACTAAGACAATCCAGATCCAAAATATTTGGATGGGGTAACGAATGACCCCTATCAGCGAACTCTACCATATCTTTCGGGACTAAAAAGCAATA